GTTGAAAATCTAATTCACTCTTATACATAAGAGGTCAAATCCTGATGTTATATACTCACTTGAGTACATCTTAAGATGTGAAAACGTGAAAAGCTCAAAAAAAGTTCTACGATTATGCAGTATGCAAGACAGCATGGGTGTAGGATCACACAATTAGAATGGAAGACAATCTAGCCTTAAAATATTCTATACTGGATTTAAAATTACACGGAATGAAAACCAGAGATACAGACATGGAAATCCCAATATACCAAAGATGTAATTGATAATAAGAATGTGATATTACACAGTTCCAAATGAGTAAATAAATTATAGATAAGAAAGGACCACCACTACCAGCCACAATGAAACTTGATTAACAGCAATTCCATTGGGTCAAAAAATGCTAAAATTTCAGATTTTTTGGTAAAGACTGTAAAAAGAGCAACATGCTTACAATTTGCAAATTTGTGTCCTAAATAAAATAGTTAATTTTATACCAAAATGCACATTTTAATAAAAGAAATCTATTTTCCATTCTTAAATGGTTTGTTTGTTTTAGAATATTTATTACTACATCAACTATGATTTTTACATTGATTTATTGATGTTTTATATTTATATTTCTTTGACCCACTCAAATAGAAGGAGTAATAAAGTATCATCTTACCTTCTGACATTGAAGGTAGTTATAATAACCCATATCCCATGCCTAACCTTTCAATCTCCGGGACTTTCCATCTGAACATGCAAAAAAATAAAAAACAAAGCAAATAAACTTATCATTATCATAAATATGATACTGGAATTGGGGAGAAGGACCAATATTACTTTTATTGCTAAGAAAAAATACAAACCCTGACATAAAATAAACAACAATCTATAGTCTATGCAAAATACATAATTGCCCTCGATCGACATCCTCATCATAAAAAAATATCTGAGAACGCTTGATCAGTCCAATCCAATGGGACAAAAAAAAATTACAACTTTTTGTTCCATACCAAAAGGTAGGATAAGGACTCACTCTTGACTTATCGTTTGCGCAAAAGATGTAAATGCCCCTATCTCAAAAAGGTTGTCCATTATAATAAACACAATCTATATAAATTACAATTTAAGCCTAACTCACCAGGTTACTTTTACTGTCTTTGACTATTTATCTTGTTTTTCATTTCTTTTATAGATACCTCATAAGGGACATAATAGGCATTTTGTATCTTAACCAAAAATGGCATACATGACCCCAACATCCTCACATGGAAAGTAAAACTTTTATGACTAGAGCACATTTAATGCACAAAAAGTCTAAAAATTTACAGGAGTAAAGAATGTAATCATACATCTATATACTCTCTCCCAAAAGCATGAAACTTATAGTCATCACATTTATACATGGAAAGGATGTTGCCAACGGTAAGCCCTACAAAGTCAGCCAATTTTTTCATAATTAAAAACAAAGGACTTTTTTGGTAGATAATAGCTTGAAAGTCTAAAAATGAGCTTAAAGATGATGCTTATTACTCGTGACAAATGAGATAGCCAGTTATCTAAGTAGCAACAATCATCAATAACCGTTATAATAACAATGAGATAGCCTAAAAATGAGCTTAAATATGATGCTTATTACTCGTGACAAATGAGATAGCCAGTCATCTAAGTAGCAACAATCATCAATAATCGTTATAATAACAATGCATGTGTCACTACCAATGGTAAGGACCAAATGAATGTCTAGTAACTTGTTTTAAATTATCCAAATTTATCTTCATTAATATGTGTGTTTATCTATCATGCTCTCATCCAATATCATAATTGAGGAGAAACCCGAAAGAAATGAACATTACTTGGAAAAAATTTCAGGAATGAGTTAGGACCCACCTATCATTATCATATCAATTCATATCTATATGTAAAGGAGAATCTAACATACCTTGCTTATCCATCAAACCTTGTGCTTGTTATAGAATGTCTTCACCTTTGTCCATGTTACACATAAACAATAGAAGATAATAACATAGTAACATTACGATTAAACAGATATATTTGGTTCAAGCATTTAATCAAACACGTTGTCTTCACAAAATACAAAATTGATAAGCCCAAAGGAAGAAAAGTGCATATGGAGATGGAAAAGTGAAACCAAGTCTACATGATTTTGTTCAAAAGAAACAATTATGTAATACAAAATTAAGAATTCCATCAAGAAGTAACAGAGATGGCAGTATGTACATGAAATCGACCAAAAATGAGCAGCTGTACAAACTAAGCAATGTTTATGAATAACTTATAATTTGAAGATCCTTATTGAAATTATGAAAAATCGCTTTATCCTTCTTGGTTTCAATTAGAACTTTATTCAAAAGGCTATTAAAACCCATCTTTAACAACAAATTCCACACATCTGAAGCACTTTGTAGAGAGAGAAAGAATTATAAAAGCAAATGCCCAGAAAGATTGATTCAAATAATACAAATACAAAGCACCCAGATTTACCTCTAATGGTTAATACACCGATGGAAGAAGGGGCGTTAATGAGATTGAAGACATCGAGAACCTTTACTGATGACAGGAGAAGAGCGAGCAACAATGAAAATGAAACACATAATTTCAGTTTGAGTAGGTATAAAGCTAATGAATCGAATTTATAGAAAACGTATAAAAGATAAATTACCGGAGAAGATTAGGTTTCAGGAGAGGAGATGGGGATGATTTTTTTAGGATTTTCCAACAGTTATCGATAGGATCAAGAGATGTCAGAAGACCTAGTAGGTAAAAAAATACAAGAACATGGTGTCAATAGTGGCCTGCAAGGTTGTGATGAGGGAGGAGAACTGATATTAGGATGAGAGGAAGGGCTTCACAATCGCAATGCGATGGGGGGTGCGGGGGAAGATGAGGTTCTAGGAAATCAACAGAAATATATCTGCATCGATTTCATCCTGATTTATTGGGATTGTGAAGAAATATTGCTGATTTTTTAGGATATATTAAGGGAAAATCTTAGAAAAACCCAACGTATTTTCAACCAAATGTTTAAAAAAACCACTATATTATTTTTTAGTACACTAAAACCCTTATATTTTCTAAAATTCTTATTTAAGGTTTTCTGAACTTAGAAAAACCTACTCTATTTTCATGAAAGGATTAAAAAAACCATTATATTATTTTTTTAGTGCATTTAAACCCTCATATTTTTTAAATTGTTTTCAATCTTATGAATTGTAACAATAGAAACGTTAAGAATCGAGTACCTAACATTTTTGGCTATCTAGGATTTACCGAGCTCAATGTCTTAAATGATACATTTTATAAAATATAAGAGTTTTAACATACAAAAAAAATAATATAGTGATTTTTTTAAGACTTTGATGAAAAGATGTTGGGTTTTTATAAGATTATCCCATATATTAATTAAAATGCATAAACAACAAATGAAATTGAAAATAGAGAAGCAAAAGGTGGCATAATATTGATTTAAGAGTTTGACACATTGCATGACACGTGACAAAAGGATATTAACACTATTTATTTATTAGAAAGGGAGATGTATATGTTAGTTTTAAATACAATTATTTTGTTAATTTTAAGAATAGGTGTTTTTTTATTTAAATAGAAAAATAGTCTTTTGATATATTTTAGTTAATTCAGAAATATTTTATGTTCATCTAATATTATGATCTAAAATTTCAATTTAATATTATGCTTAACTTAACAGTTAAATATAGAGAAATTTGAGTAAATTAACCATTATAAACAAATTTTTTTAAAGAAAATAATCATATTTTTTAAGTTTTTGAAAGATAACCAATTTCTTCGGAATGACTAATTTTGGAGTACTGTTCATATTTTTTCAGTTTTATTTTCAAAGAAATTATTTTGTTTTTTTATTTCGAATGTTACATTTCGTAATGTTTAGTTTCATCGTTTTTCAATAAATGCCTAATTTTATGCACTAATATTTTATATAGTTTATATTACTATGTTTGTATAATTATTTGTTAAATTAAGAAAAAAATTTGGGAATTATTGTTCGGATTTCGGACTTGTTTTGAAATTTTGGAGTTTTTTTTTCCTAATATCTGAAATTTTAGTCCGGAATCCGGAATGCCATTCCGGAGTTTACATTCCGAAGTTAGTAAAAAAAATGTTTTTTCTTAGTCCGGAATACCTCATTCCGGACAACGTGGTTATTTTTGCAATTTATTTTTCAAATGCATATTAAAAAATTGGTTATTTTACTGAATTTCCCTTAGATATATTTGATTGATAATTAAAACATATTTCTAAAATAAGCGGCGTTTTCTGAGGGAACGGTATTGTGGTTCCAAACTCGGAATTCTCGGTACGATATAAAAGGAGAATGTTGCTCATTGAATTCGATGTATAAAACCCTAGACCGCGTAGCAGCCAAGGCAGAAAACGAGAGTGGTTCTCCATTATTTTCGTCGATTAAAGGTAATGATTATTTGTTTTCCAGAATCGAATTGATTGATTATTATGTGTTTCAGGATTGAATCACATATTTAGCCCAGTTCGACCACTACATCATGTGAAAATATTTTGTTTAATTTTTTTCATGCGAAAGAAACTCATACGCTAAATGCACCGATACTCCTTGATTTTTTATATTAACTAACTGAATTTCATGCTAATTTGTATAAATTTTTTGAACTCATCATTACACTTATGGTGTTGAAGCCAATTATTGTGGCCATGGCCACTGACATGTGCAAAATTAGTGCCATTCTTGGACAAAATGCCGAACTGGATTTCGTTTTAGCTATGTTATGGAATCTGTTTTGATTTTTTCGTATATTAGGATTAATAAGAACTTGCTTATGAATCGATCTCTGGCTTAATTACCAGATAAAATCTATTATTCGCAGAATTCTTTGGTAGCAATCATGGCGGGGGCTATGGTGCAATCTACCAGGTTTTCTTCAACACTAATTTCCAGTGAAAGCATGCTTTGGTCAAAGTCAAAGCGATATGGTAATTATAAAAACAGTCCAGTCAAGATGATGTGTAGCTTACACTCACAACCTCCTCCAGGGACAGTGAGTGCCAAGACTCTCTCTTGGTTACAGGGAGTCAACGCTTTGGACAACAAGGTCAACAGAATCCATGATTTCCGGTTTGCAGACATTCCCTTCTATTGGAGAGTCAGAGATTGTTATATTTTGCCAAAGACAATGTTTGATCGGTTTACAGAGAATGCTATCAAAGTTATTGAGCTTTCACAAAAGGAGGCTATATGCCTTGGTCACAATCTCGTGGGAACAGAGATGATTTTATTAGGTCTTATTGGTGAGGGCACTGACATAGCAGCAAAGGTCTTTAAGTAGATGGGGATTGGATTGAACGATGCACGGGTTGAAGTACATAATATGATTTCCATGATACTTGGGTATTCTTACCCAAAAACAAAAAAAACTATTGGTAAATGTAGTGGAATTGTTGATGTAGCGATTCCTTTTACATATCATGCAAAACACGTAATTGAGATGTCAATAGAGGAGGCCCAAAAACATGGTAATATGTGTGTTTTTGAAACATTAATAATTTAAATTATATCAATATAACATATTTAATTAGTACCACGGATTGATCTTTCAGGTCATAATTATATTGGAACAGAGCACTTGCTTATCAGTTTGCTTCGTGAGGTGGAAGGTCTAGGATTTTACGCTCTTGAGGATTTATGTGTTGACCCAAGTAACATTCTCCAGGCAAGTGTAGCTGCTATATATTGTATGTAATAAGTTATATATTTTTGCTCTTAGTGTTTGTTTCTTTTTTACTTAATTTCATTTTTTAACACCCCTAGCTAGTCTTAATGGGTCAAGTGCTAGGCTGTCATTTTTGCCTCCCTACCATTTTACCAAATCCATTCTTCCTTGTTCTTTGTTCTATATTTGTAGAAATTAATAATTATCTGTAATTCTAATATTTAACACTTATCAAATAAAGATTCCTTTGTTATTCAACATCCCCTTTTAATAATAGAAGGTAAAAGGATATAACGTTTACATTTAGACAATTCATTCAAACATACATCATTTAACCCTTCTTTTGAATGTAGAAAGAAAAAAAGAAACATGGCCTAGTTAATTACCAGTTCCCTTATGTGCAACCTTCAACACTTGAGGGAACAGTTAGATTTTTCATATGCTAAGAAGAAATTTGATATAAAATCTATTATTTGCAGAGTGTTTTTGTTTCAATCATGGTGAGGGACTGTAAAAGCAAGGTCCATTCAGTTTGGAGAGGGAATATGCCAATGCCCTTGT